TACTGAGTGCTATGGGAATAGAAGGCTCAATCGAGCTGTGGCTCTCTGTCAGCCTGGCTACAGTGCTGAAAAGAAATCTTGCATTATTCTTATTCTCATCTATTAATGAAGAGTAGTAGGCTGCTCTCGCTTTACGCAGTGCTTTCTTATATTCATTGAGAGTAATATGCCCAATTAAACGAGATTCTTCAAGTTTAGTAGAACGCCATATCCTTTCAAGTTGTCTCGACTTTTGCTTTATTGTGCGGGTTTGGGCATTATGCCATGGAGCTAATCTATGTTGTTTTATTTTCTTCTTTTTCAAAGGAGCAACAGAGTCTAATTTTATTCGCAGCGCATCTGTAGCACTATCAACAACATGATCAATTTGGGGTGGTGTACATTTTGTATACGTTTCCTCCCTTACATGCAGACATGCTATCGAGTTAAGTATTGGTGGAATCTCTTCCTTAAATGTGGCTATAGCACTAACAGATAGGTTTCTGCTGCAGGAGCCTTTGACTAATGCTTTGTAGTCTCGTAACAGTACTTCAAAAGTTACTAAGAAATGGTCGGATAAAGCAGGATTATGCGGTTCGACTAATAGTTGCTCAATTTCAATACCATAAGTCAGAACAAGGTCGAGAGTGTGATTATAGCAGTGGGTTGGTTTATTTACACTCTGACAAAAACCAACATAATTTAATATAGAGTTAAATGCAACAGTAAGGCTATTTTTATCATCGTCAACATGAATATTAAAGTCACCTACGATAATTACTTTATCTGTTTTAAGAACCAAAGTTGATAAAAACTCAGAATTCAGATAAGAATTCTATAAGAATACTAGTGTTCTTTCCTCCAGCATTTCTTCCACTATGTTTCCGTTACTGTCTGTATGGTTGCTGCCCCATAGACTGTTGTGTGCATTGAAATCACCACACCAGACTTCCTTCCTATGTTTATATTCTGCTATTTCTTTAAATATATCAGTAGTAGTAATGATGCCCCTTCAATCACATTAGTATGCAAGAAAAGTGACAGGTGGTGTGACAGGTCACACCTCTCCCTACTTATGTTAATGAGCTAAGTCCCGCCTCCCATTGTTCGTGGTGGATGTCACACCTAGGTGTGAATTCACACGTAGGTGTGAGATCCTTTGATGTGAGGGGTGAGGTACATCACACGTAGGTGTGAAATGCCCCCCTGTGTAGTGCCTTTGTTAGAGATCCTTTTGTGTCATGTGAAAAGCCCCGGGCTAGCGCCTTTGTTGTCTAATTATTTGATGTGTTGATTAAGTCTCTTTGTGTTGTCTGGCCCCTTGTCTCCTCAGGGTTGTATAATCTAATTATGAAGTCTAGTCCTTTGACGGGAGGTGTTATAACACACCGGTGTGACTTCACACTGGTGTGTTATAAGCCTCTGATGTTAATTTAGGTGTTGATTAAGTCTCTTTATGCTGTCTGGCCCCCTGCCCCCTCAGAGTTGTATAATCTAATTATGAAGTCTAATCTATGAGGTGTTGTAAGCCTCTGATGTTAATTTAGGTGTCTCTTGAAGTGAGGTGAGACTGTCTACCAGCCCCCTCCTAGCCTCTCCCCCCTTCCGGGCTATGACGCAGGCAGATAGTGGGGGGTGGTGGAATTAGAAATATGCTCAAACTAATTAAAAAGACAGCAATTCCATTTACCTTTTCAAAAAGAAAAATGGCCAAGAGAAGCCTCGAATGGGTTTAATCAGTGAGACTCCAGTGTCAGCTTACCGTATCCGTCCTGAGCGTCAAGAAACGAATGCATCAGCAGCAATGCGGGGGTCTCTGTGCACAAACTTATCTCGCGCCCCCTTTTGGTCATGCGCGTTCATGTGTTTTGGAGGAGGGGCTCTGTGAGGAAGTGACAGACTTTCCCTGGTTTGACTGCAAATTCTCCAAATTATCTAACCCCTACCTTAAAGAACAATTCACACACACACACACACACACACACACACACACACACACACACACACACACACACACACACACACACACACACACACACACACACACACACACACACACACACACACACACACACACACACACACACACACACACACACACACACACACACACACACACACGTTAATTAAGACACTCTCTGTGAGTTAGTTTTTAAAAAAGAAAGAAACTCTAATTAAATAAAACAGCCATTAATTTTCACTCACCAAGACATCTAAAAACGTTATTATCCTCTCTATATTTGATTCAGGGTTTTGTTTTAAATGGTGTGTGCTGGCTAAGGATGTTTCTTTTCAAGTTTTTGTGAAACTGCTAAAGAAGTATCTGTTTTGCAAAGAGGTTATTTTCAAAAGATCTTATTTAGGTTTTAATAGTGATACCTAAGGGTATTCTCTTTCAGTATATGGATTTGTGAACTAATGTGTAATTACTTTTATTAACTATAATTGCACAGGATCATTCTAAGAAGAGTGAGAGGGCTAATGAGCCAGCACCATACCTCCTCTATGCATTTTCTTGACCTGTATCTGATCTTGAAAAACTTGACTCTTTTAAAAAAAGTTATTTTTCATCCATCATTTTCAACCATGCAGCAAGAGATCAAATTTAAGAATAAGTAATAGTTTGTCACGATTTTACGGGAAATAGTCAGTGCGCAATGTCACATCTTAAAGACAGCTTGAACTGGATAAATGGTTAGTCTTTTTTCAAACATACCGTACGTTCTGCATGTTAGTATATCTGGCCAATGGATTTAGACCCTACTGCCTAGACGCATGCCCTCAATAGGGAAGTCACGCTTTGGGAAGAGGTGTTTCATTTCACAGATCCACCTTGATTGTTGTGTGTGGGGTGAAGGAAGAGGGACGGGGGAGGACAATTCAGAGGATGAAGAAGCAGAAAACATAACTTGTTTTGTAAAACGGACAGCACGTCAGTTTCAAGAAAGACGACACCGTGTTTATGCATGACATGCAAAATATCTTGAAGCCCTGTAAAAAAAAAAAAAGGTACAAGTATATTGTGTTGAAAATATCGCAAAAAGTCGTAATTTTGTATAATGTATTAGTTGCATGTTGTATTTTGCTAGAAATCACTATGTAGTTTTTCAAAAAATATAACGGAAAAAGGAGAGAAAGACAAAAACAAAATATCACAGTATGTTGAAAAATATGAAAAAGTAATGTGTTTAAAATAACATGAAGAAATCAAAGTAACGCTTCTAAAAAACATATATTTTAGAAAAGTAATGTGAGTCATGTCAAGTTATCAAGACTGCTGTGTTTCATCGAAACAGTGTTAAAATCACAAACATAACGAAAACGAATTCCTTACAAATTAATGAATATTTTACCCGGTTAAAAAGGTTTGCATCCATTAAAGTGTAACTAAAGTATCTTAGTAACACAAGAGAAGAGAATAAAGCATTAATGTCAACAAAATTGATTGCTCCATTGAAATAGGGTTAAAATCAAAAAGTGCCTCTAAAGAAAATGTATTCAGATAAAGTATTTTATTTTCAGAAATGTTTAAGGTTTTGCATACATAAAAAGTGTATCTTACAGTTCCTTTTGTGAGAGAATTACACACAAATCTGCAGAGTGTCACTAAAAAAGTTTTACACAGGGACTGACATTCTGTATGGGGGTTTCACACGGACACAAAGTACTTCATGATCTACTTTTTCAGCTTTTATACACAAAAGTGTATCTTTCAGTAACTTTCTCAGAGAATTTAAGCATAAATCAAATGTTTCAAAAACAACCTTGTTTCACTGAAATAGCCTCAAAATCACAAACTGCCATTAAGAGCCAGATGCTTTACGGAATCTAATAAAAACAGAGTACTTTCATGGTAGTGGTCAGCTTTTAAAAAAGAAAAGTGTATCCTTCAGTAAAGTATAATGGAAAAGGAGAGAAAGACAAAAAAACAAAATATCACAGTATGTTGAAAAAATATGAAAAGTAGTGTGTTCAAAATAATATGAAAGAAATCAAAGTAACGCTTCTAAAAAACATATATTTTAGAAAAGTAATGTGAGTCATGTCAAGTTATCAAGACTGCTGTGTTTCATCGAAACAGTGTTAAAATCACAAACATAACGAAAACGAATTCCTTACAAATTAATGAATATTTTACCCGGTTAAAAAGGTTTGCATCCATTAAAGTGTAACTAAAAGTATCTTAGTAACACAAGAGAAGAGTATAAAGCATTGATGGAAAACAAAATGGATTGCTCCATTGAAATAGTGTTAAAATCAAAAAGTGCCTCTAAAGAAAATGTATTCAGATAAAGTATTTTATTTTCAGAAATGTTTAAGGTTTTGCATACATAAAAAGTGTATCTTACAGTTCCTTTTGTGAGAGAATTACACACAAATCTGCAGAGGGTCACTAAAAAGTTTTACACAGGGACTGACATTCTGTATGGGGGTTTCACACCTGAGCTGCTGGGGGGGAGGGCGTTGAAAAGGGGGGTGAGTATGTTTGGCTCTCGGGGGATGGTGTGTTAAGAGTCACAGTCTTAAAGAAAATCTGGTCAGAAAAAAGTACCTAACTTTCTACCAGTTGCAAGTTGTCATACATATAAAAAAAGTAAGAGACTTACTGTTTCCTTTGTGAGAGAATTACACATAAATCTGCAGAGTGTCTGTAAAAAGTCTCAAAATCACAAACTGTCATTAAGAGTCAGATTCTTAACAAAATCTACTGATACAAAGTACTTAATTATCTACTTTTTCAGCTTTTATACACAAAGTGTATCTTTCAGTAACTTTCTCAGAAAATTTAAGCATAAATCAAATGTTTCAAAAAACAGCCTTGTTTCACTGAAATAGCCTCAAAATCACAAACTGCCATTAAGAGTCAGATGCTTTACGGAATCTAATAAAACAGAGTACTTTCATGATAGTGGTCAGCTTTTTAAAAATAAAAGTGTATCCTTCAGTAAAGTATAATGGAAAAAAGAGAGAAAGACCAAAAAAAAACATACATTTTGTTTGTTTTTTGTCAACACTAGGCCAATAGATGGGAATTGTTTATTGTAAACTGTGAAAAAAACAAAATATGCTTAATTGCGGCTCCTACACTCTTAAACCCACTATGGGTTTTCTCCTGAGTGAACACGAAGATGTCTTTTGAGATCACTTGATGTAGTGAACGTTTTCCCACACTCTTCACACCAGTAAGGTTTTTCTCCAGTGTGAATACGGTGATGTGATTCTAGAGTACCTGATGTAGTGAAAGTTGTCCCACACTCTTCACAGCTGTAAGGTTTTTCTCCAGTATGAATATGTTGATGTATTTTGAGAGCACCTGATCTAGTGAAAGTTGTCCCACACTCTTCACAGCTGTACGGTTTTTCTCCCGTGTGAATATGCAGGTGGCTCTTTAAAGGTCCAGATGCTGTAAAGGATTTGTCACATTGCTGACAGCTGTGACGTCTCTCTCTTCCTTTCGGTTTCTAGAACAGACGGACAGAGAAAGAGAGAAAGTCAATCTAAAAAGCATAAATATACAAGTTAACACAATAAAAACTCACTTAATATAAACCTTGAGTTAACAAAATACTACTTATCAACTGTTTGTCTTTATTATATTTGATACAGTAATACAGCCATATTCTAACCAAAGTATATACCAGAGGTGGGGGACTCGAGTCACATGACTTGACTCGAGTCACATGACTTGCCTATATTTTGACTTGAGAGTTGCTTGACTAACATTGATAAAAGACTTGACTTTGACTTGGTATTCATGACTTGAGACTTAGGCTTGAGACAGATGACTCGAAAGGACTTTACTTTTTAAAATAGAATATTTGCATTTGTATTGTACGAAGCACTTAGAGGGCAATGAAAGAAAAAAAAGAGAGAGAAAGTCTCTTCTCGTTCGCAGGAGAAAGTAGGAAGTGGAGCGCACAGGAGACAGCCGTTTCATTGCAGACTGTTATGTTTATGTGGGGAAATACATACATTATTTGAGATATATTTCAAACTCGGACTTCATTTTAGGGACATTTCGGCCAGGGGTGTAGAGTTATTTGTTCAAGCACCGGATCGGCAAAACAGGAGAGTCTGTGAACCAGTCTGCCTTGACCTATGTATTCATGTCTGTGACTCTCTCAGTATCTGCTGCCCACAGCTGCTTCATAGAAGAAAACCCTCTGCAGCACCAGGAGGCAGCTGATGTGTTTTAACCACACACACGATTTAAATGCAGACTTCTGTTCCTCCATGTTTCGTTATCGTTTCACTGAGCGGACCCGCCCCTTTTTCTTTTTCAAACGCTCCCTTTTCCTTTTCCTGTCCATCTGCGGCGGTAACAGGTTTTGACCTATGTATTCATGACCTATGTATTCATCACACACACACACACACACACACACACACACACACACACACACACACACACACACACACACACACACACACACACACACACACACACACACACACACACACACACACACCACACACCACACACACACACACACACACACACACACACAACACACACACACACACACACACACACACACACACACACACACACACACACACACACACACACACACACACACCACACACACACACACACACACACACACACACTACACACACACACACAACACACAACCACTGTCTTTTAACTGATTTAAACTGGGGTTATTCATCAGGATTTCGTAGGACTTGACTTGCTTGACTCTCACCCCAGTAACTTGAGACTTGCACAAGTATGACTTACTCCCACCTCTGGTATACAGGAGACAGAGGGAGACGGCATCCTGTCACTGCGAGTCTCAGTATGCTCCGTTCCTCTTGTGTTTTGTTTTTTTGTCTAAACTTTGTCGTGTCTGTATGAAACGTCATTTTGAGAGATCATGCTTTTGATCCTGTGGATTACGTTTGCCTTCTGCAGACCATGTCTGGCCATTCAACTTTCCAAGACACACCTGAGTGACAGCACGAACAGGTATGGTGAGGAGCCCCGGCCTCTACGCTGCTACAGACGCGAGGCAATGCTAGAGCTACAATGCGATCGGCCTCCTACGAATACACCAAGCCATCTGTGCTCTTCGTTATTGGATGAAATCCCTCGGGAGCCGCTTAGAAACACCAGGAAAAAGAGACGAGGAAGGAGGGGAAGCGTTCAGAATACGGCGGAGATTCAGCCGGCCACCACTTCCATCCATCATTCTCACAAACCTGCGCTCATTGAGCAACAACGTGGACACACTAAGGACATACACAAGGTACTGTCATGAATTTCTCGAGGCCTCTTTATTGTGTTTCACGGAAAGTTGGCTCCAATCTACGATGCCTGAATCTCTCTTTGAAGTACCCGGACTCACCCTTGTTTGAGCAGACAGGGATGCGAACTCGGGGAAAACCAGAGGAGGCGGTATTTGTGTGTATATTAATGATCTGTGGGTAGATCATACTCAGTAAAATGTAAAACCTGCAATCCCAACGTAGAAATTCTCGGCATGACGTTAAGACCCTTTTATCTGCCTAGAGAATCCGGGTGTATTTGACTGTTTGTTGTTTACGTGCCTCCCAGCGGCAGAGGACACTGTGTTCACGAGCTGCAACTCAGCCACCCCGATGCACCGGCAATAGTGCTCGGGGACATGAAGCAATGTCGCCTGGAGACTGTGTTACCTGGGTTCCAGCAGTGTGTTAGGGATCACAGCAGGAAAGACAATATCCTGGACAAATGCTTTGTTAATGATAAAGGAGCCTATGTGTCTAAATACAGACCACCAATACTGAACTCTGATCATAGTGCTGTGAATATGATACCAGTGTATAAGACCAAACTCAAGGGAACCAGAAAAGAAAGTAATAAATCATATGTGACTAAGGACATAAAACAAAGACTATGGAGCACTTGAACAGACAGAGAAAGAACTGAAAGTCAAATTGAGGGAATCAAAACACACAGAGAGCTTTTGGGAAATGCTTTTGAAGCCAAAGACCCCAAAAAAGTGTGGGACACCATGAGAACCGTGACAGGAATGACCTCTTCAGCTAAACCTATTGTGAAGGACAAGACATACTTGATCCATACCAATTTGCCTATAAGCAAGGGGGTGGTACTACAAGGGACTGAAAACTCATCTCTTTCGACTCCACTTCGAGCGATAGAACTATTAACAAAGCACTTATGGCGCATTTCCACTGCAACGGGGTAGCCCCGTGTAAGCGTCCCTAAGCGTCCTCGCTCAGGCCTCGGGCTGCCTCGCTGGCCGTGGCGCATTTCCATTACAGTTTAGGACCTGGGGTAGCAACGCAGTGTAGGCGGGGCGATCGGCTTTTTTTTTGTTCACATTTCGAGGTTGTTCCGTTGAGCTCCCGCTGGATTTGATCATCCCCAATGAGATGTAGGAACGTCGTCACCTCCTCGGTCGACCACGGTGTGCTTTTCTTATTAGACGTAGCCATTTTTGTAGCTCATCTGTTTACAAAATGCTGTTTATAAAAATGCTGCAAGCTTGCTTCTAAATATATGCGACGCTAGGGATGAACTCGCGCGCGATCTTGTGACGATTCTCTCTGACCAATCAGCAGTCGAGAGTGTTGACGTCACTAGTTCAGCCCTGGCCCTGGTCTTATAGAACCACGATTTTATGGGGCCGGAAAAAGAGGGAAAAAGTACCCGCTAGCCGGTACTAGGCTATATGGAAAGGCCACTAAAAATTGTCCTGGCCGCTTGAGGACGGTTAAGGACGCTTAAACGGGGCTACCCGCTGCAGTGGAAATGCGCCATTATATACTAATAAAGGGCTGGCTTATCTAAAGCCAGTTGAGTAGCACTTGAAATGTTTTTGCTCTATGAAGCCTGATGTACTTTATGATTCTGTTTTCTTCAAGTTTGTATTTTGTTGGTCGAACGCACTTATTGTAAGTCGCTTTGGATAAAAGCGTCAGCTAAATGCAATGTACTGTAATGGTACTGCTGCTACTCTGGTTCACATCATCACTAAACATTTAGATAAACGTCACACCTATGCAAGAGCCCTCTTCCTAGACTTCTCAGCAGCAACACAATACAAGCAGACATCTTGGTGTCAAAAATGGAAGTAAATCCATACCTGATTTAGTGGTATGCCGCTTTCCTCACCAGTAGAGAGCAACTTGACCAAACCCTGTCATCTGCCATCACAACCAATGTAGGGACCCCCAGGGCTGCAGGAGTTCAGCTGTGCTCTTAGCTTCATTTGATGACTTTACTGAACTGCTGTCTGTAGTAGTGTTGCATGGTGTACGGATACTTGAAAGGTACCGCGATACCCTACCGTTAAAAACGGTACGATTCCTCCGTTTCATTAGTATCGGTACTTTAAGAATGACGGGGAAAAGTACTCCGGTGAGAAAGCGCTGTTTTAATAAGAGCCGTGTGTGTTCAGCGCTCTGCTTCCACTCCCTGCACTGCAGCCGTGCCTGCAGTCCCTCCCCTCTCAAGCACGTTCTAAGTCCCTCCCCTCTCTCGTGCATTCGGCCACACGATAGCTGCCAGAGCATTTGAGAAAACGAGAAGCATGGCTGCAAGTGGGAGTGTCAAGTCCTTCAGGTTTTTGGCCTGTACCAGTGCTTTAGCCTGACTTGAGAGGCTGGAGGGCAACAGAGGATGCTTGGACAACTCAGATGTTGTTCTTTTTGTCTATATTTATTTAAGAGAGCTCCAAGAATTCATCAGGTTGAAAACCTTCAAAACACAAAGTACAAACAAATGTTAGCACACATGCTACACAAATTACACATATTTTGCAGGCCTCACTGCATTCTCAATAATAATAATAATAGCAACACAAACCATGTTTTCATTAAAAGGATAACTTGTTATTTTAAAACCACATCATTAACTTAAATGAATTAATAAGAGTGTTTCTCTCCTTGGAGACAAGCACCAGAGAAAACCTCATCTGAACACCTGCGCTGTAATTACACAGCAAACAAACGGAGCACAGGCAGACCGCGCTGCGTAAAAAGCAGTCGATTGCGCAACAGCACTCTCGCAAAGTGAGGCAACAGATCAAGTACATAAACCACAATAAACACAATAAACACCGGAGAAACATACCAACGGCGTCTCCGGAGCCTCACACACACTGTCGCCTGGTTCTCCCTCCGTGGCTTTGGGAACAAGAGACCGGCCACCACAAACTACGCCCCTTATGTTGCCGTGTTACCGGAAGCGGCATTCATATTTTTTCAATACAGCTCACTTATAAAAGGTAGCCTTGGTCCAAAATAAAACGAATACCCTCTCCTGGTATTGAACAATACTATAATAATAATACTCTAAATGAAACCACATAATTATTTATTAGTCTGTTTTTCACAGATATTACTTTTTGACTTTCGTCTCGACAGGGAGTGCAACTTGCGCTGCGCCTCGGCTTGTTGACAAAAAAGACGCCAGAAGCGAAATGTGGAAGTATTTGAGCTATATCTCTGA